ACATCCAGTCATTCTTGTGAAGGTTTACAAGTTAAATTTGCTACTGGAATCAATCAAACAAGTAAAAAATTCTGACATATATTGTACATATTTAAAACCATGGGGAGGGGAAAAATTTAAATTCAAGGTCAGAATGTGAATAACGAATCAAATTTCAACTCATCCCTCAATTTGGCTAGATTAAAATGGAATTACTCCAAACTTATTATTCAAAAGTTTCCTTTTTTCTCTTGTTACTTGGCTTGCTAGCATTTTCATTTCATTTTTTAAGGGTCTGAAAAACACATTTATGTTTTTTTATAAGCCCTATGTATTATTACAATTATGGCATAAGATTGCTGATTTGTTTTTATTTCTTGCTATTTCAACAAAACTTCACCTTTGTTGACAAGTTAAGTACCTATATTTCCTAGGTGATATTTAATTCACAAACAATATTCAAAACATCACAGAAAACAAAATTTGTATGTTTACAAGGCATAAAAAATATATATCATCTAATTTTTCAATGATCGTGGACTATGTTCCATCAACTGGCCTGAAACGGTCACACCGGCCCCTGTTGATCTGTACATCTTTATTATTCAACTGAGCTAAACTTCTTGTGATTGCTCAAACGTGTCAGAAGTAAGTAAATAGCAGTGAGTAGCTACTTGCATGTGGTTTAACAGTAAAAAGTCCATCACAACAGCACTGACTCAGCCGCTCTGCTTTCCTGCTAGTGAGACGTACAAAATGTAAATAAAACTGCTGTGAGTCAGAGGACCTGAAAATGCTGCAGTCTACATTAAATATTTGAGTCAATCATATAAATCTATCCTCTGCTTTCACAAAAATGCCTAATTTTGTGTGTCAAGGATACATTTTACGCTACATTCTGGGTTGCGTCTCACATTACACTTAATGCATTTTTTAAATCTAGTGCAATGCAATGCTCTAATTTTACTCTGCTAAATACTCTTATTAGGCCATGAGCTAGGACACTAAAATGTTAGATTATGCACCATTCAGGGGTGGTCAAGTTCTCTCTGACTTTCCCATGAATCCCTTGAGGAAAGACAAGGCTGGTAGCGCAAGGTTAACATATTTCTACACAAATGTTAACACCTGCAATGCTTGTTTCACTGTACATTATACTGTATAACAACAATATGAAGCTTTAAAAAAATTAGACATTCTAGGCTATACATCCTCTCTCGAAGAGATGAATCTGAAATCTACAGCCTGGAAGCCATAGCTCCTTTATCTTCCCGTAGGGCCGGGGGGAACAGATGTTCTTTTCAAAGCTCAGCTACACACGCTGACTTGCGTTTGAGATTAAGGTGTTTCTCACTGCAGGGAACACAGCTTCTCTCTAATAAAGACCACCAGACAAGCTTCTACCGGAGATCACGAGCTGGGATGTCTGCTCTAGATGCAAAGGTGGACTACTGTCATCTGTTTACTTGTTCTCTTGATGATTTGCTCAATTACTTCATCCCGCCTTGCAAACCATTCTAACTCAAACTTTTAGGGAAAATGTTTTTAAAATCAAGAATCAGGAAAGAGTTGTCAGGAGCTTACTGGTGATGACGTTGAAGTCTGTTTGTTTTATAGCCTACATTTACGTCTTTACTTCTGGCGATTGTATTTAGGCTTCAAAATTCATAGATGTTCATTTGTGAAGATTATTCAAATGTCTAGAATCATCAACTTTTGTTAGTCACAGACCTTATATTCTGCCATAATCCAAAAGCAAATGGAAAAATCATGTTGGTTTTTTGTTGGCCTGTAAAAATGCATCAATGCATCGCTCTGTAGCCATTTTTAACAAGCTGCCTCCAACCTGATAGACCTCCAACTCTTATGAAAATTAACCATGGTTTTATTATAGTAAAAGTGTACTAACCATAGTTTTTGGCGTATTGATTACCATTTGTATAACCACAGTTTTACTACAAATACCTTTGTTAAACTATGGTTAGTGTAGCAAAACCACGGTTAATTTGTGGTTACCATGGTTTACCTAACCAAGCTTTTTTGGTTTTATTTGTAGTAAAACCACAGTTAATTTTGGTAAGGGCTACCACCATTGGGTGGATATAGTCAAACAGCAATGTTCTGATAGCACCACAAAGCCAAAGCGCTCACAATTTTCAGTGGACTCAACCTATAAATGACTTAATTATAGTTGTTTTACCATCAAGTTGTGCTTTTTTTTTCTTCTGCGAAAGACAAAGTATTTTAAAGAGAGTTGGGGTCTAAACAACTTTGACCTCCATTGTGTGGAAAAAGAGGGAAAAAAAGTAGTCATACAGGTTTGGAACGACACAAAGGTGAGTAAATGATGCCAAAATTGTCATTTTGGGGGAAAAACTCCTTTAAACTTGGATATGAGAACATTTTAAACACCCCAAGGGCCTTGATATTAATCAATCCCAATGTTTTACACACTGTAAAGGATACTTCCATTCCACGAGGCTGATACAGGCCCGGCGGATGGGGTTGTTGAGGTTGAGGCAGAAGAGAGCTCTCTGAGGCCGCGTGTTGGCCGAACTGCCCTGTTTTTTGCTCTTGGCATACTGCTGCCGCTTCTTCTGGGCCAGCGAGCCGACCGGTACCACTGACGATACAGGCACGGAGGCTGCAGGGGGCACGGCAGGAGTCGCAGCAGGCGGAGCAGAGCCGTTGGCGCTCATGGTGCGGGCGTGGGCCTGAGCAGGGCGTCCACCAGCATGGGCCTGCCAGGGGAGAGGGCACAAGGGTGGGCGCTGGAGCGGAGGGTCTCACCAACAGGCTGGCACGTCACCAGAGACAGGGACTCTGGTACTGCTGGCATAATTTGCCTCTGTGAAAGACAGAGAGGAGAGTTAGAGAGAAAACGAGAAAGCGCAGAGAATATAGTGGGAGGCTGTGCAGTGACTTCCTTCACTGCTACATTATATTATGCAACAATGTGGGCGTAGGACTAAAAGATGCATACAGTATGTCTTTGGGTCTAAAAGGCCAGTGTCTCAACCAAGGTTTGCGAGCAATCCAACGTGTAAAAGATGTGGGCACCAAAAGAACCTCTATATTTAAAGGAATATTTAATATAAACATGAAAATCCGGCCCTTATTTACTTACTTTCGCGTCAAAAACAGTATAAAAGTAGCCCATACGACTCTTTAGGTTTTTATGAAGCCATATGATAGCTTTGTGTGAAGATGGACCCTTCTAGCAAAGTTGTTTATATTTTCTTTTCTTTCTTTTTTAAATTAATGTACATTTATAACACTATGAGCTAGGGCTGTGCGATATTGAAGAAAAATGTGATATGCGATAACTCATTAAATAATGCGATATTCGATATGTGATACGATAATGCTTAAAGTGCCACATGCTCAGATGAAAAAGTTTTACTCAGCTGTTGCTGAGTCAGTTCTGTGAACTTCTATAACTATTTTGTGTCATATATATATGGCTATTTGTATGTATGTATGTACCAAGAGTTCCTGTAAAACCACAACAAATTCCTTGTGTTTGCGCACACTTAAGTGGTGAATAAAGCTCATTCCGATTCTGATAAGAAAGCACCCCTACAACAACTTCTGAAAGTGAACGATATGTATTTTACTCGAGCATTACATAAAAATGTCATTTTAACATTAGTGTAATCATTTTAACGTGAGTTTAGAAACTGAATAATACAAAGGAAAAATAAAACACCGCTTAGTATTTACTCTTTGAATTCAATATGCACTGATTCTTATTTAAGCTACAAAAGTTATTTAGGTAAGAGCTGTGAGTGATTTTCTCTTTGTCTTTTGTTCATGGCCCAAATATTGCAAGCTGTAGCGCTATGCAAATTGCGATATGTACATTTGCGATATTTCGATAATTTCGATATATTGCACAGCCCTACTATGAGCTATATTACCTGGTTAACGCTGCTGTGTGTGTGTGTTTCTAATATAAATTCTAAGGGAGTGATGGCAAATTTAACACATTTCTCTCTTCTGACCAACATAATCCTTTGATCGGAGGTAGTGCAACACGACTATGAGGTGTACAAACAACGTGCCAGTTTAAACTAAAAATATCATTGTACAGGTTACTACGATTTCTCAACAAACCAGGGCAGCAAAAAGAAAAAGCACAACATCCTGCTTAAATGACAGAGGTATTATTAGGATAATGTCACAAAAAATTGTTACAGCCTGTGGAAAAATCAATGCGTGTAGCGTGACCCAATGAAAGCCAGCCTGCAAACAGATGCATTGTGGCACAGAATCACACTACCTTACCAACATCCCCACATAAAAACAGACATTATCAGCAAACAACAGCCAGAAAAACACACTCTGCATTCAAATACTAGCAAAAAGCACACATCCAGGCTCATGGGATCCACAAACGTCACTCATATACATCCGAGTCCTTGAACCACTAGGCCCTGCAGAGGAAATGAAGACATCCAAGGAAAGGTCATATCGCCTGTATACATTTCCCTTCAAGCATTTGTCTGCCATCGGATCGTGAAAACCTAAGACATGGCATCCAAATATGTCACAAATTCAAGCCTATGCTCTGCTGTGATTGGATAGGCTATCCAATAAATGTTAATCTTCACACTAATGATAGTGCACTATATCCTTGTCAAATACTGGCTCCTATATGAGATATATTTATCATTCTAACGTCATGCATGATGCAAATTGATAACGAAATATAGCTCCTTAATGATTTCATCCGAATAGTGCTTTCATACATACTAAATGTTGACGTTTAAACTATTTTGTAGGGCAATTACACATATTGTCATTGTAACAATGCACGGCAATGATGCATTTAGATGCATAATGCATATTTTTGATGACATATATAGATGCTTAATGCGGGTATAGATAAAGAGGCTCGTGACTCTAAGACAATAACTGTAGCGTTTCTGCTCAAAAATGAAATATTGCATATATACTGCAGCCGAATCTGTGTCTTTCTTTAGATGATGCCAATGATGCTCAGTTGCAACAGCTGTGATGCGTCTTTATAGTCCACCGACTGTTCATTTCTTTAAAAAACGCCTGATTATGACAAGCAGTGACAACATCAAAGGTCTAACGGGACCAAAACGAGCGCAAAATCCTCTGCATCAGCATCATCAGCATCTTCTTCTTTTTTTTAAGCATCGACTCGGACGCAAAACGATTGCACTCCATCATTTGTTTAAAAAGATCAATTTGAACTCGAAACGCGCCAGGCCGCTGCGTGAATATCGTACCTTTGATGAGGTCTTTCCTTTCCGCTGAGGAGGATGGTGATTCGGCTTATATCCCGAGATAAAACTCCGACATCGATTAAAACGCTCAGGTCCGATCTGACACGGTCAATTCAAATTCATCAGTATGCATTCGTTTTTTTGCGCGTGAGAGAGCGCGAGAGCTTCCTCGCGTTCGGCGCGCGCTGCCCGTGTTGAAGCGTCACGCGGCGTCGGTGAACGGTGAAATGAGCTGAACTCCCCCTCTGGCTGTGCACGCACAAACCGAGCTTACTTTAGTGAGGAGCGCTCCGAATCGTTTAGGGAATCGGTTCGTTTAAATGGATCATTTCTTAGGATCACTGAGCCATCACTCGTTGGATTTCACTTTTCTTTTTTGTTATAAATCATCTTTAGACAAAATTCTACAATATTGGTGGCAAAAAAATGCTGTTAACAAAAGTTGCTGTTCACATTATGTTAACATGAGTATTAATAGGCTACTGTCTCAGATGTCTGTTAAAGATCGCTTGATCTGGAAAGCATCTTCTGTGTCCAAACATCTGACAGACGTCTGTAAGATGTCAGTTTTACATGCATTCTAAATCATAAACATCTCAAAGACATCTAAAAGGAAACGTCCTATAGACGAAATGCAGATGAGCAAAGCACTCTACAAATATGTCTTCCAGATGTAAACAGTGTTGCCAACTAATTTTCAGGGGAAGTTGCTAAAGGAAGATTGATTTGTTGCTAAAAGTTGCTAATGACGCGATGTCATTGCGCGGTGACGTCATTGCGTAATCACGATGCAAAATTGCGTCACTGCATCAAATCTCAGCAAAAAATATAAACAAATTTATATATGTTAATTTTGTACAAAATACAACATTGAATTATTAAAGGGGTCATATGATGCTTTTTTTAAAGATCATTATTTTGTGTTTTTGGTGTAACAGAATATGTTGACATGCTTTAATGTTCAAAAAACACATTATTTTTCAAATACTGTACATTATTTTAGGTCCTCTATGCCCCGCCTCTCTCAAACACTTCGTGTTCTACAAAGTCCCTCCTTCCGACAAGCGCAGTCTGCTCTGATTGGCCAGCTGACCCAGTGCACTGTGATTGGCCGAACACCGCACGCACTCATCGGAAATGTAACGCCCCTTACCATAATCGCGAGCTTCAGCTTTCAAAATAAATGTAAAGACAGAGCCCGAAAGGGGAACAGAGTCCCGTGACAGACACAGTAATGAATATGTGTTTGCAGTACACAAGCCACGGTTAAGACAGCTGACTCCACTGTGATGTGACCCTGTCTCTCTCTCTCTCTCTCTCTCTCTCTCACACAACGCTCGCACGCGCGCACGCACGCACACACACACACACACACACACACACACGATGCGCAAAACTCCGCATTTGAACAGTCAATAGCAAATACTTAAGCTAATAACAAAACAGTAGCTGATTCAGAAGCGCCAGATTGTCATAGCAAAGTCAGAATTACCTTCTCTCCTAGGTTCACGAAACGGTCGTCCATAAAATGCATTGCTGTTCTGTTGTAAGTGATCTTAAAGATTCCTAAATGCATCTACTTTCGGAAGGCCAAATAAAGTGCTTTTGCTTTCGCCTAGAAACACACAGCGTCTCCCTGACATGCTGCTTCAACACTAACTGCGGTTACTGAAACCATGCCTTCTTTCTTTGCATGCACATTTGGGCCGCATTATGCAAATCTTCCCACAGAGCGATGTAGATATGTGGGGGCGTGTTAGGACAGCCGTTTTAGGGGGGCGTGGCAGAGTCTTAACTTTGATAAAGAATATCTCTTTGGTTTTGAGACTTTAGTCTTTGCAACTTCAGGGATCTTATCTATGCACAATCAGCTTGTAACACTCCAAAGAGAAAGGAAAACTTGAAATTGCATCATATGACCCCTTTAAACACTTTCACATTTTTTAACAATTACAATTTAAGTTTATTTGTATTAGTTAGTAAACTAATAAAACTACTCATTCTGAACAATTAGAGTTTTAAGCAGTGTATTAGTAGTTCATATGCTACACTCTAAGAAAAGTCTGTAAAAATAGGGCAAAACCTATTAATATGAAGGAATTTTCCGTAATTATTATTCACACGTTTTTTTACCTACATTTTAAATTACGCATTGTATTTTGTGTTTTCGGGTTACAGGGTTACAATGGATAACGGATAATGTCCTGGAAAATTACTACCTTTTTCATTTTTCTAGATATTTTTCTTACCGTGCACTAACTGATCAACAAACTCAAGTACAAGCTACTAACAAGGTGTATCATAAATTAACAATTATTCAATTATTATTATTATTATTATTATATTAAACAATTGCTAATAGCAGCCAACTTAATTCATGTGAATTGTGTACCGCTAGGCACCTTTGGTTTCCTCTTTTTGTGTAATTTAGATGGAAAATGTGTGCCTTTTTTATCATTTGAGTCACTTATCAAAAGTTGCTAAATGTTGCCAAATAAATAAAAAAAAAAGCTAAATTTGTTGCTAGGTGCTTTTGGAAGAAAAAGTTGCTAGGGTAGTCTGAAAAGTTGCTAAATCTAGCAACAAAATTGCTAAGTTGGCGACACTGGATGTAAATGCAGACGTCAAATAGACGTCTCCGTGATGTACACATATTATCAGTTTTGTGAATAATATTGTTTTCACATTATTTTTTAAAAGTAGCCTAATGTCGAGTAATTTATGATTTCAGAGAACGCTTTATGAAATGATTCAACTGGTGAGTAAATAATCACTGAAAATTGTTACTCAGCAGCAGTTTACAGGTCAATTTTGTTGTATAATTAGGTTGTTGTTGTTATTTAAGTATTATATTCGAATATAATATTACATTAGCCCAGATAGCACAAGTAGCCTAGTATGTCTGCAAGATGTCTGTTAAAGATCGCTTGATCTGGAAAGCATCTGCTGTGTACAGACATCTGGTAGACATCTGTAAGATCTCAGTTTTTCATACATTCTAAATCATAAACATCTAATATACGTCTATTTGACATCTGATAGGGATAGGATATATATTACTTGAATATTTGCGTCCATTACAAGTCAATAACCAATCACGAGCAAAGATAACCATTCAAGCCACCCAGATTCCTGTAACACGAACCTGTTTCTGGTGAAGAGGGAAAACAGACGAAAAGAAACTTTCAAATTTAGCCAGAATATCGATTAAAAACTAATTACTGAATGATAGGTTCATATATGAATTTTCCATAAGTGGAGGATGAATGTGCACAGGTGACATGTTGCTCTCACTATGTAGGCCTATTTATCAAGGGAATATCGTTTGTTATAATAATAATTATGATAATTAATAAAATAATAATTATGATAATTATAAAAATAATTATGATAATTAATATATTAGTATAAGTTATTCAGTTTTGTTAAAACGTGATTTTACTTAAAGTCAGTCCTTACGAATCGGTTCGACCGAATCTTCAATAAGAATTGATTAGAAAAAAAGAATCATTCGTTCGCGAATCGCGAATCAGACATCAGACTCAGTAAGAATGAACAAACTGCTGGCAGGTGTTTGACAGTACACAATAGAACAACATGTATTTGCTAATAATAATAATAATATAAATATATTTATGACATATTTACATCCAGGGATTTTCTTTGCTTTGCAATTTGCTCTTAACATGCACATAGTAAGATTACTATATGTCACACGAAAAATGATCAAATCTTGCAAACACTATAAAACAGCTAAATTAATACGCTCATATACTGTAATAAAACAACAAGGCAATATAACTGAAAACCTTTAAAAACATGCAATTAGAGGTCAGAGAGTCAGGACTTCCCTTGAGTAATAATTTTCAAGGAGAACATTTGTAATCTGACTTTTCAGAAGAAAAACAAATATATTTTTTGCAGCATTTCACACATTCTTATGAGAGGTGAACCTATTATTTCTGGAGTGTAGCAAACACAAACAGCAAATAGGACAGTGATATAGGCCTAATTCTGCTCCACTGCAGTCAATAATCATTTATTTGGGCATGTTCATTAATATGTTACATTTATTGCCGATCAACCTTGATCGAAGGATGATCCTGTAATGTTTCTTTACCATTCAAGCCACCCAGATTCCTGTAACACGAACCTGTTTCTGGTGAAGAGGGAAAACAGACGAAAAGAAACTTTCAAATTTAGCCAGAATATCGATTAAAAACTAATTACTGAATGATAGGTTCATATATGAATTTTCCATAAGTGGAGGATGAATGTGCACAGGTGACATGTTGCTCTCACTATGTAGGCCTATTTATCAAGGGAATATCGTTTGTTATAATAATTATTATAATTATGATAATTAATAAAATAATAATTATGATCATTATAAAAATAATTATGATAATTAATATATTAGTATAAGTTATTCAGTTTTGTTAAAACGTGATTTTACTTAAAGTCAGTCCTTACGAATCGGTTCGACCGAATCTTCAATAAGAATTGATTGGAAAAAAAGAATCATTCGTTCGCGAATCGCGAATCAGACATCAGACTCAGTAAGAATGAACAAACTGCTGGCAGGTGTTTGACAGTACACAATAGAGCAACGTGTATTTGCTAATAATAATAATAATATAGATATATTTATGACATATTTACATCCAGGGATTTTCTTTGCTTTGCAATTTGCTCTTAACATGCACATAGTAAGATTACTATATGTCACACGAAAAATGATCAAATCTTGCAAACATTATAAAACAGCTAAATTAATACGCTCATATACTGTAATAAAACAACAAGGCAATATAACTGAAAGCCTTTAAAAACATGCAATTAGAGGTCAGAGAGTCAGGACTTCCCTTGAGTAATCATTTTCAAGGAGAACATTTGTGATCTGACTTTTCAGAAGAAAAACAAATCTATTTTTTGCAGCATTTCACACATTCTTATGAGAAGTGAACCTATTATTTCTGGAGTGTAGCAAACACAAACAGCAAATAGGACAGTGATATAGGCCTAATTCTGCTCCACTGCAGTCAATAATCATTTATTTGGGCATGTTCATTAATATGTTACATTTATTGCCGATCAACCTTGATCGAAGGATGATCCTGTAATGTTTCTTGTCAGGCAACAGTTCAAACACTCAGCCATCTTTAGAAAAGACAACACCTGCTCACCACCTGCTCTGCTCAGAAACTTACACCATCTCTCACATTACCAGTCATGTCT